AAAAAATAAAAAAATTGTACCATTGGATTTGCTTGTGTTTTTCAATCCTGGGAGATAATAATTTAATCCACCCAATGAATGTTTGGCTTTTTCTTCGAGGTAGGTTAGGTTGAATTCCCAAAATCAGTGTTACAAGTCATAATAGGTCTTTTGTAGCCAAGAAAATATACTAGTTAAGGGGAAGTTCAGAGATTAAAAAAAAAAATCAAATATTTTATGAGGATTCTTGTAAATTAAAGTGTTTTTAACATTAGAAGAAGACATTATAGGATACAGAAAATCATGACGCAATAGGCTGTAATATTGAATAAATATATTTTGTTATATTCTTACTTATTGTTTGTGAGGCACCATAATTCAAGGTGAAATTCTCAAGTTCTCAGGTAAGAAGTAATTAATAGACCTATATAATTAGTGATAAATAAATAAATAAAAATTATAAATGGTAATAAATTTCAATAATAAATGTTAAATAATAACTTTATTTCTTGTAATGAATAAACATTAGCCAATATCTGAATATCAGATATTTTTATACAAATATGGAACTTCTTTAGGATAGGCACAGTCTCCAATAGATAGGGAATATTTACAAAATACATGTGAAATAGAAAAACAAAAATGATAGATATATTTTTTTCTTTAAAAATGATTAACAGTAAGGAAATCTGAAACATTAACTCAAACAATTATGTCTACTTAAGTATATAATAAGATAGAAAAGGGAAAATAAGCATTGAAATATACACTTTGATCAGTTAGCCAACGGGAATTCCCCACTGTTAAAGAGATTGACCTTCAGCAACTGGTGTAAGTAAAAAAATAAAGTTACTAAAAAAAAAAAAGGTTTCATTATATCAAGTAAATATAGTGTATTGATAGTTGGAATGTAGCAGATATATTGAAGATAAGTTTGTTAGCATTTTCACTCAGTGAAAATACAGACTAAAAATTTATAAATTTATTTATATTTCATATTTGGTGCCGCGGTGGTCGAGTGAGTTAAGGCGCCTGCAAAAATGTTATGCAATGAGTTTAAATCCTGTTCGCGGGATTAAATAAAAAAATAATAATAATAAAAGGCTTAGCGAATCCTGAGGTTCGATACAGACACCACCAATCGCTTATTGCACACCTACCTCCACCAGTCACTGTCCTAACCCAGTCCCTTCAGATCAGCTTTAATGCAATCTATCTGGATACAGTTCACACAACCTTCTGATCCCTGGTTGACTCATCTTTCTTCGTTCCGAATATTCTACGCAATACTTTATTTTCAAAAACCTTAAGACAATGCTCATCCCTTAATGTAAGCGGCTACGTTTCGCATCCATAAAGAACTGTAGGTAGAATAATGGTTTTATAGATTCTAGTCTTTAAATCCCAAGATGCGTGAGCTAAGCAGTTTTGTTACAAAAAAATAACAAGCATTTCCTGCCTTCAGCCTAACCTTAATCTCCTCTTCAATTTCGTTTTTCTAGTTATCACAGACTCTAGATACTTAAACTATCTGTTCAAACATATTACCTCCTAAATCGACATCACCAGCAATATTGCCATTTTTGGAAGATAAAAATATATATAAATAATAATAAATAAATAGGTGCAGTTCCTACTCGATTGCCTAGAACACTACGGCGCAGGTTCGATTCCCGTATGGTAACGGCAACATCCCCACTCTGAGATTCATAGGACAGTGAGAACGACTCCTCTGTTGTTTTTTTTCAGAATGTTGTTACTTTTTTATTTGTTTTAATATAATTTCATTGAAGATATTGTATATATTTTTTAATTTTGATTAATATAGTTTTTGGCCAGATGTTTTTATTTTTAGTTCATAATTGTTATTCTTAAGGGATCTTGTCCCAGAACAGTTTATTTTCTATTCTATTACATTATATATGTGATGGATGGTAAGGCAAATTTTTTTCTTTTCAAGTTAACCAGACGTGGCTGTTCATGTAGAACATTAGATCTGTAGAACAAAAAAATATTACAACTGTGTAACTTCTAGTTCAAAAATGAATTTCCACAAGTTGAATTAAGCTAATATAAAATTGTATTAATGTTCTCAAAATATGAGCATCACTGGTTCTATCTGTTATAGAAAAGCTTTTCCGCTTCCATAATAGAGAATATCCGTTATATAGAATAGCAACATGTAATATGTAGATAGTATTATTGGAATCAGATAGGAATATAAATTGTTTTGCTTTAGGGAAGTGTCCGCTACAGAAAATTTCACTGTATTTTCAATTTTGTATATATTTGAATGATGGAGTAAGAATTCAATAATTACTATGCTGTTTGTAACTAATAAATAGTTATATTTTTTGAAATTTTATATATTTACGAGAAGGAGTTGATCGGGGGGTGCGGTCAAATAAATACTAAATTATACAAATAGCATTATTATTTTTTTTTCCCGACGTTTCGACCCACTTTGCAGGTCTTCATCAAGGCTACAAAAGATACAAAACAAATGAATATAAGTAGATATAAAATAAGAAGAAGTAGTCGGATGAAGAAATAAAAAGATGATATCAGAGACATAGTGGGTGACAATGTAGTTAAATATCAAGTATTATATATATAGAAGATACAAACAAAAATAGAAAACTAAGGAGAATATAACATGTAAGTAAAAAGTTGTTTTCTATTTTTATTCATACTTATTTTCCATTTTTGTTTATATCTTCTTTACATATAATACTTGATATTTAACTACTTCTTCTTATTTTATATCTACTTATATTCATTTATTTTATTTTCACTTGTTTTGTATCTTTTGTAGCCCTGATGAAGACCTGGAAAGTGGGTTGAAACGTTGAAAAAAAAAAAACTATTTATTTGATATATATAATTTAGTATTTATTTGACCGCACCCCCCCCCCCCCCCCGATCAACTCCTTCTCATATCATATCATGGTCAACCATCTCCACATCTTTAAATATTTTTCATTTTTGCATGGGGTAAATAATGGTTACTAAAATGATGATCATTTCCAAATGATTACAGTCACTAAACAATCTAATTTAATTAGAGGAGAAAATTCGATAAATAGAGATGGAGATTTTAAGAATGTCTTGTATCAATTTGATTTAAAATATTTTTCCTATTTATTTTGCTTTTTTTTGGTAAATGAACTTTTCATTAGAGAGAGAAGTAAAACGTTATCAAAGAATGAAAATTAGGCTGACCGGCCACCGAGAGCAGAGCTGAGGTTTATCGTAATGAGTCAGAGAGGGTCGGCACCCGATTGCGTAGTGGACTCCAGCTCAGTCAACATTTTAAAAAATAGCAAAGTTGATCATGGAATTAAAAAGAAAATTGAATATTTGTTAATAAAATTTAATATTATTCCTTAAAAATTTGATTAAGAATTCTTCTACATTGCATATTTTATACTGAACCAAAATAAAATAATTTGAAAGGTTGTGCAATTGGAGAAAGAAAGGATGACACTGAGGAACAAAGCCACGCGGTTGTGAGGCATTGGTGAGTAGGTGTGGTGGGGGAAGCTGAGCGTAGCTTCAAAACCGAACCTCAGTCAAATCACAAAGCTATTCCTTGCGATGCCGTTCAACACAGCTACGCATCTGGTGAGCGGCCTTTCATTAAATTCGGTTTTGGAAGCTGACTCAATAACGCTCAGCTCAACTCCACTTTCAGTGGCCGCTCAGCCTTGATGTCGATAAACCATATCTGAAAATCTGTTCAAGCGATTATGTTTAACAACAAAAATATACTGCTACTGTTTTATTGAAATAAGAAATTAATTTTGTGTTGAGGCTGAATAGACGACCCAAAACGAATCTATCTCGCTGTAATCATGGGCAGTACCAGATCCAGGATTTAATTTTCGGGGGACTTCACACCATGAGCTATATATAAATATATATATATATATATATATATGATATTTGCTTTAGAAGAAAAAGAAAGGAACTACCTATATGAAATAATGTTAAAGTGATCCTTGAAGCACCATTAAAAAAAAATGTAGTTACACGAACAACTTTTAGAGATAATTTTTTTTAATAAAACAGGGTTACATTTAGTATATATATATGTGTGTTATAAGTTTAAGAATATAGTCAGTGGTACAGACCCGTTATTGCCAAAATATTAACATCCGCCTAAAACTTCGTGAATAGCTTTATCTCATCTTAATCTAAAACTTTTTTATTTATAAAAATTCTCGAAATTGGGGATTGGCTTTTTTATTAAACTTTGAATATTTAATAAGACACTAAAAGCTCATAAATACCCATTTGCTTTCCACTAGAAACGTAAGATAATTTTATAACAAAATCGAGAATAAACGTAGCCTACAAAAATATTAGGCTGTTTGGTATAACCTCTATCCCCAAGACACCAAAATAACGAGGTTATAAATGCCAAATGACCCAATATTTTTGTAGGCTACCTTCTTTTTTCTTTCGATTTTGTGATCAAATTATCTTGTATATTGGAAAGCAAATGAGTTTTTTTAGTACCTGATTAAATAGAAAAAGTTTGCTGATCTCCAAATTGAAAATGTCCCGATTCCGAGAATTTTCATAAATAAATAAGCTGTAGGTTACGATGAGATGAAGGTATTCACAAAGTTTTAGGCGAATGGGTCTGTACCATAGAATAATAAGAAACATTGTGATTGTTTAAGTATTTAGCATAGATCATTCACAAGAACAAATATGGATCAATGAAAAAAAAATGATTTTTTCCCATTTTGGGAGGCTTCAGCCCGAAAGCCCCTCTCCCTATAGATCTGCCAGGGGTCATGGCATTCAAGATTATTCCTAACAAAGAAATTTATAAACCTTAGTTAAGAAAACAATTTAACTAAAGATAAAAGAAAAAAAAAATGCATTTTTACATTTGATGAAAGAGTAATTTTGTTGTTTCATGGCACCTTATTAAGATAAGTAAGATTTCTAATAAAAAATAATAATATTAAAAATAGCAATAAAAAAAAAAAAGGAAAAAAAAAAAAAACATTTTTATTTGAGAAATAAACTAAATCTTTATTTGACTGATTACCCTTTATCTCAGTTCTGCATTCATGATAATCAAGTTATTTGTAACTTTTATTACATTAAAACAGTTCAAAGTATATACAGAACTGTTAAAAAACATAACGGTCAATTAAAAAATAATATATAAACAATAAAAATTTAAATGGATAAAAAAAAGGTATCATCGGTAGTTAAGATAATTAGGAATTAATAACAATGAATAAAAATTTTAACAAATTTATAAGATTTCTTTAAAAGAGAAATGTTAGAAAATATATATATAAAATTAAAGGTATCTCTATTAAAGACAGAATAAGCATTTCACTACTACACATATTTTTTTCTTGTTAAACCAAATTTTTAGTCAATAATATATTATATTAATATGATACAATTTTTACATCCAAATAAATATGAACTATCTACATAATCTCACTCCAAAGATTAACATTTTTCTGAGTACAATTGTTCATATTGAGGACATTTTTTTTAAGGTCGGGATCCTTTTAAAAAAATCTGTTCGGTAAGAACTAATTGAGTCTTTCCAAAATTACATCTAATTTATATTATGTTATATTTATATAATATTCTTAAATTACTCCTAAGATAGCAATGCGTGATAGTAGTTAACATTTTAACAATAATAGACATTTCTTTTATTTCTTTATTTTTTTCAAATTAAAGTTGTACCTATGTATATTGAAGTTCCATAGATCAAACTATACTAGAAACTTCAATTAGAAAAAAAAAGTTTGAATATCCTTAATTTTTTCAAATGTAAACTTTATATTACTTAACATCATTATGGTAATGTTATTATTATTTTTTTAATAGTAAGAATATTGATTTTGGTTTTAGATTTTTGTATAATCTAAGTTCATATTATCAGAACTCGACAGTATATAATTTTTAATTCAAATTAAAATCTTGGAAAGATTTCTGTAAATATCAATTGTCTAAAAATAAAGCTATTTATTGTGATTATCTAATTAAGCATAGATTTTCCATAAAATTTTTATTTCTAATTAAGGTTTCTAACAATTTCTAAGTTGTTACCTTTTGATTTGCATTTTAAATATTTAACAAACTCAATAAAATAATGGAGATTAAATATAAAAAAGATGAGGTACTATCGGAAAGGGTTGACGTAGGCCTTAATTACGGCTCTATTTAGTGGCATCCCGACCTTTTTACTTACGAATTTTCCTAATATACACACAATTTTTATTTAATTAACTTTGGCATATGTACATCAATAATAGATCGGAAACTTTTCTTCCATATTAATTAAAATGTTTAAACTTAATATAAACACTGTTTAAAACTTACTATGTACAATAATTATCATGAAAATACAAACCATCAATAATCTCTTTTTTTCTCATGTTTTAAATAACTAATTGATAATTCAAAAAAATAATAATAATAAAAAAAAAATCCACAGTCTCATTAGTGAAGAAAAAAAGGTAAAGAACCATTTTTCAACTGTGACTAATTTTTACTAATAGACTTATACAATCCAGACCCTTTTCATCCCTAGTAAATTGAAGATACAATAAAAAAACAAACAAATATATATATATAAAAACAATAATTAGACACATATAAGTATAAACGAACACGCCTACAGGCTTATTAAACTTTATACGACTTTAGGACATAAGTAATTCTTCATAAAACTGAAAGATATAATTCATGAAATAGACATTAATTAACATAATTAACTAATTTACATTACATCCCTTTTCCGATTACGATTGAAATCATGAACAACCTCGATAAATTTATTCTATTCATTTTTTTTTTTAATATATATATATATGTTTCAATATTGAGCTAAAATGTTAACATTATTACATAATTCACTAGATATATAGTCACATAAACATGTTCCCTGGAATAAGTGCATAGATGCACACACGATGAAATTATCTAAACATTTAAAATCACATAATTGTTAACATGAATCCAGACGCCGATGCACCATACACTGTGACCTATACTCACAATTGAATATAAATATACGTGGTGACTTTTGGCATTTAAATATATACATATAAAAAAATTCTTATCGTAATAATTATATGTGATTTTCTTTTCTTTTCTTTTTTTTTTTTTTTATGTACAAATATAAGGTCACGAAATATGGACCAATATAACATCTTATTTACAAGACACAGACACCATTTAAGGCTAACTATTTTTAAACAAAAATATCACACTAGAGCCTTAAATGGAAAAATAAAATTTACAGATCAATTAATTGAACAATAGAAGAAAAAAAACCAGAAGAAAAAAACACGATAAAAAGGCCAGTGTATATTGGAGAAGAATTATCACATGGCTGTAGGATCACATTGTCGTTAAGTCTAAGTTCAATATGCTGCGTTGGCGTGCTCTCTGTAATACGGGTTTACACCTTTGATAGGGAGTGGATGTGCTTCGGTATTGTACACCCACTCGTCAAGGGAGATGAGGCTGTCATCGCTGAACAGCAGGTATAAGTACTGCAATTACCATTAGTCAGTCAATAAAAATAAAATAATATACAGAATAAATAAATATAAATAATATAGGTTTATTTGGAATTTTAATTTTTTCCAATTTTTTATCATTGTACAAGGTGTTTTAGGATTATGTGGCCTAACTGAAAATATGAATTAAGGACCTCAAAACAACAAAACTTTTTTAAAAAACTTCTAGTTTTAAGAAAACTGCTATAGAATTAGAGCTTCTATTAACTTAACTTATTATAGAAGTTCTAATAACTTAACTTATTATAGAAGTTTAAAAAAAACTTCTGTTAATGAACCTTGGGCGGATAACTGCTTTATATAGAATTAATTTATTTTTTGAGGATAATTGGGAGTGTCTTCTAAGGTAGGATTGTAGTCTGTTTGCTACGATATCAATTCTGAAAGAAGATGTGTAAATAGCTGTATCATCTGCATATAGTGAGTCTTCTACTGAAGGGGAGGAAGGGATATCTCAAATATATAGATTAAATAGAGAAGGAGAAAGACAGGACCCTTGAGGGAGACCTGCAGGGAGGGAATGGATATTCTTTACCTCTGAAGGTATGTCCGAAATCGCTTTGTTTAGGAGAAATTAACACCCAAAGATTTTCATTGTTACGAATTATTAACTTAGGATTATATTAAGTAAATAATACCTATTTATTTGTTCCAACTACTTTTTCTTTTTTTTCACACGAACCGGGCAGCAAGGACCACGCGAATATCATTTCCGTTTCCTCTTCACACCCTCAGCCTTCCTCTTACTCCAATACTCTCTCATCCTCCAGGACTGTTCCTCTCGCTCTTCCTTAGTCCATTTACTCCCCCCCACCTATAAGAACCTCAACTCCTTTCAGTTTTTCCCTAAAACGCTCTCTATTCAAGCAATCTTTATCCGTGATTTTTAGCCTGTCTAGTTCGTCTTTTATTTGTTTTAAATATCCTCCCATACTTTTGTAGCTGTACTAATTTATACTGCTTTATTAATTAAATTTTCTTTTTTTCCGTTTGGTGCTGTGCTGCAGACCATGAAGATCTTTGACCACGAGTGTGGTCTCCTAGACCACATCCCGATTCCTGATTTAAAGTATGAGGTAGGGTCATCAATCCTACACCCGGTTGGTGTGAGTTGCCTCCAGTAGGCTGACAGGGCTCACATACCCGGGGGAGGGGGAGGAATCTCAGGCAGCGTGGCTTTCCTTGGTGAACTTAATATTCTATTTCCTGCCCATCTTTGTCATCTTGAAGCTTTTTCCCAGAAATTTCTATTCAGTTATGCCTTCCATTCACCCCTAGATCGGATTCAGCAAACTGCTAATTTATTTGTATCCTACATAAATTTCTTTGACAATTCATGGCCTTGGTTTGAGAAGATTCTAACTAACAATTTGGGCAAATTCAGTATACTGAATGAGAAGGGTCCCACGTGCACTATTCAACTCAACTTGAAGATGGCCATCAATAATCGATATTATCGATATATCAAGGACTTTTTATTGAAACAAAACAATAACAAAAATTCTCAAACCTTAAGATTATTCAGGAAAAACATTTTTATTCTTTTTTTTTTTATCAATTTAAATTAAAAATCCTGATTCAAATGTATACAAATAAAAAGTTATGAATCAATTAAGTAGAGAAGAAGTTTAAATTTGACAGGAAAATATTGCGATTCTCAGTGAATTGACCGATTCCGTGTGAATTATGATTTTTTCGTGCGAATTACTTCTTCAATAAGTTTCTTTCAGAAGAATCAACTCTTTGATTCCATTCTGGAATCAACTGCCCATCTCTAATGTGGTCTCACCAGATGATTTGGTCAACTTCATCTACTTGTGTTCTCAGAATTCTCTTTATAGTTTGCTCATGAGATCTTGTATCCTCTTATGAAAGTGGAGCAAAACTTGTAAAGTAGTGTATATCCAAATGTTTTATTAGCCCTTATTGATCGCTAGATTTTTATACGTGATTCTCCCTGGATTATAGGTGGCTCTGGTAAATATGTAAAAAAAGTTCAGAATAACATTTTTGTCTCGTGAGATATAATTTACAACCAATAAGGGTTAAGATAATTGTGGGTTGATGGTTGACTGTCGTGAATAATGAAGAGAAGGATGGTTGGGCTGATCAGTCAGAAATAAATATAATATTTATTTTAACATTTGCCGACGTTTTGACCTGAAGTTCAGGCCTTTTCTTAGCCCTGATGAAGGCCGGAACTTCAGGTCGAAACGTCGGCAAATGTTAAAATAAATATTATTATTTATTTTTGCCTTTTTATATCTGAATGATCACCCCGACCATCCTTCAAAGGTTAAGATAATTTTTAAAAAATGTTAAAAGTAACTCAATAAAAATTATTTAATTAAACGTCATAGAATAATACCTTTAATGTTTCTGCGAGGAAATAACTCTGTTGAACGTCATCTTTCAAAGGATCATCTTGGTATACATTCTTTAAACCGGAATAGCCGCCCGGTGTTCTACAATATTTTTCGAGAGCCTAGAACAAAAAAACAACAGAAATTAGGTATAAATAAAATATAAAAGCAAAGCAAGAATAACAGACAATAAAACATATAATTAATTTTACATTATTTAAACAAAAAATATTCAAATCTCTCAATCCCAAGTTAATAAATAAAAGTTTAACATTTGGTTCAATTTAATATATTTAGAACATATCAGGTGCGTACATACCTGAGTGAGAGAACACCAGATTTCAAGAACATATTGTTTATTTCAAAAAGTCATTAAGAGCATTTTTGATATAGGTTAAGTTCCAAATATGTTTTCATGAATTTTGAACTTATTTATCTACATAAAAAACACCGTAATTGCCTAAAAAATCTCACAAATCCTTTTATTAATTATATAGTTACTAGTAGGCCCGAGCGAAAAATTCCCACAGCATATTGTTATCAAATGCCAAATTAATAAGAAAAGAAAATAACTCAACGTAACAAAAGATATAGAAATCAATTGTTACTTTATCGATAAATATAATCGACAAAGGAAACAAAAATTAATTTAAATGTTCATTAATGTTTGGAACCATGTTTACAAATTTCAATAAGCTGTATCATTGTTAAAAATTGTCCGATTTAGGTGGTTTTTTTTTCCTTTTGTAGGAAATGCAGTAATATTTTATATATACATGGGCATAACCAAGGGAAAACTGTGTAATTTTTTAGTCATTCGCAAATAAAGTTTGTTTTCTTTTATAACTTGTTTACCTGCATTTTCAAGATGATTTGACTATTTTGCTGCCTGAAGGAGAAGGAAGCCTTCGAAATTGGTGGCTCAATCTTGAGATTTAGCGAAGAATTAATGGTGATATGGCTTGCCGATCAAAAACACCATCGATAAATAATATGAATTCCTCCTCTCTCGATCATAGAAGCCTCAAGTCGACGAAATGAGACGTGTATCCAATGACAGTACTACAATTAACGTAAGGTTGTGTAGATGCGAACCCTATGCCTTGCGTTCTCTCAAAAATAGTACGTTTTAGGGCTTAAAAACGCAGGATCCCATAGTTCCGGAGGATCTATACGGGTCTTGCTGTACGCATCAAAATCTTCAATGTCCATTTGTTCCGTATCAATCTACAGACCTACCACCGTTCCAGTATTGAACCCTAGCAAAATGTTTGTATCGACTTTATTTATTTTAGAAAGAAAAACGTAAGTGAAGAATCCGATTCGCTAACTCCTCGTGAAATTCTGAATTCAACAGTACCCCATTCATGGTATTCACTAGCTGATCCAGGATTTATTTTTGGGGGAGGCTTAAGCCCGAAAGTTGTTTTTTTCATAAAAATAATGATAATTACTTTGGAAAAAAAGAAAGAACCTAACTACCTATATGAAATAAATGGTGTTTAAGTGATTCCTAAAGCCCTTTTAAATGTAATTACACGAACAATAATACTTTAAGAGATACTTTTTAAATATTTTTTTCGATAAAACATGGTTATATTTTACCATTTTGGGGGGGGGGGCTTCAGCCCGAAAGGCCCCCCCCCCCGTAGATCCGCCCGTGATGGTATTTGAGCATTACAGGAGCTTATAATTGGTACAAAACCAATTTCGAGCCTTACTGTAATAATATATGTGGGGATACTAAGTAAATAATTTTTTGATTTCAAAAAGGGGAAATTTATCAAAGTTCTTAATTATTTGAGGTTATGAAATGACTTTTTGAAATAAACTAATGATATTTATTTTTGTGTTATTTTTTTGTTAAAAGGCCTTTTATTGATATTAAAAAAAAAACTAATAAACCTGTAACACAACCCATTGAGGATCCCATAAATCGTACAGTCTGTGGTACAAATTATTTATATAAAATCTTCATCTAAAACTTCCAAGTGGTTGCATTTAATCATGATCTACAACTTTTTAATATAAATTCTGATTAAAATAATCAATTTATTCATTTTTTCATATTTAAGGCAATAATACTTCCAATTTTCTTCAAATTTTTTAAATTACATTTGTTGTCTCTTACCTTTCGGGACAATTTTCCCATCTTTATCTTCACTTTCTTTTTTTGATGTGGCAACATTTTTCAAAAACCAAATATTCGTCACATTTTTTAAAACTATTTTTTGGTGTTACACATCTTTATACATTCATTGATACACTAATCAACATCTAGCTATCTTTAGTTTTATTTCTGTACTTTTCAATCAATCAATTAAACATTAAAAACTCGTGAGTATTTGTTTTCAACTTGAATCATAAAATAATTTGATAACAAGATCGAGATAAATAAGGTGGCCTACAAAAGTATTAGGCTGTTTGGCCTATATATAAATGGAACTTACCTGTACCGCTTCCCATCCCCACTCTCTATATTTCGGGTCCTTGGTCAGGCGCCACATATAGAAATAGGTCTCGATGACTTCTGGCCTGAGCAGATAATGCTTCTCCGTCGTCCGGATTGCCTTCGCTTCTACTGCATCCGTAAATCTAAACATCAAATATAATAAAGTGAAAAAAAAGTGGGTACTTGTCTAGTATGTGGTCGGGATCGACTGCTTTCTCCCAATATTTATAACGTGAACACTGATAATTCTTATAATCCCTATCTTCGTATTCATATTTAGATAGATAAGATAGAAAGTAAACTTTATTCTGGGACGAGGTCCCTTATGAATAACAGATATGAACAAAAAAATAAAAACTACATCTGGGCAAAAATTACATTAGTCAATATTAAAGAATATATACAGTATCTTCAGTAAAATTATATTAAAACAAGTAAAAATAACACCATTTTGAAAAAAAAAACATTATTTAAATGAAAATAAAATAAAATAAAATAAACATGGGTTGATTTTTAAAATTAAAACTCTATCAATTTTAACAACTATTCACCTCAGTCAAAATCTGTTTCGCAATATTTATTTCATTGTATAATGTCATTTTGGGTTGTGAGATGGCAAGGAATTCCAGAAGGCAGTGGATCGGGCAATAAAGGAATATTCAAACGTCTTAGTTCTATGGGAAGGGATATAAAGGTCGGAAACATGGGATCTTGTTTTCTGGAAGTGGACCTCGGGTTTAAACTGTAGGAGACTGTAGATGTAGGAAGGGTGTCGGGTGTTGATCGTTTGGAATAGGAAAGATCCGAGGAAATATTGTCTGCGGAAAGAAGGGAAGAGCCAGTTTAACTAGTCGTAAAGGTGGGACACATGAGACCACCTTGATGTACCGAAGACAAATCTTAAGCAGGTATTCATGAGTCGCTTCAAACTGTCCTCGAGTATCATCGTGATGCCTCCGTACACCACACAGCCGTAGTCAAAGTGGGGGAAAATGAGAGAGGATACAAGGAGCTTGCGGATGGGTTGTGGGAGTAGGTGGCGGGAGCGATGAAATAGCTTAAGGGTACCTATTGACTTACGGGAGATGAGGGCGATATGGGGTTTCCAGGAGAGGTTTTCGTCTATGGTGATTTCTAGGTTTTTAACAGAGGAACTGAATGTGATAGGATGATTGTTGATGACTAAAGGAGGAAGGAAGGAAATGGATTTAAGAATAGAACTGGAACCTATAATAATGGCCTAATTTTCATCGCGTTTAGATTTAAATTATTCAGACTTGCCCAGGCACTGATCCTATCAAGGTCTGCCTGAATATTGGCGAACGCGACTAGTAGCTCAGGAGGATGAAAGGAAAAATAGATTTGGGAGTCATCAGCGTATAAATGATGTGAACAGTGGTAGATGGATTTGGAAAGATCATTTATGTAGGAATTAAAAAGGAGAGGGGAAATGCTCGAACCCTGGGCCACTCCAGAGGACAGTGTAAGGAAGGAAGATTTATGAAAGATTTAAGAAGAGTTGAATATTTATTGTATTATATTCGTATTATATAAATTGAAAACAAAAACAAATGTAATAATTTCAAATACAGTCAGTCTCTTATTTCCAGAAATTTATTTTCAACCTAAAAACACATTTTCTTTTGTTATCTTTTAGCCAATCAACAAATTCATTCATACTTTATGTTCAGCCATTTTTTATTTTTAATGATGATTAGAGAGTTAATTTATTAAAATAAACCAAATTTAAGGTACTTTAGAGGAAGAAATGTTGAACATTAGGCATTTAAGCCCTGTAAGGTGACATCAATGTGGATAAGACCTAGCTTATCTTTAAGACCACTTAATAATACACTGATATATCGAGTTTAATCAAAATCGTTAGAGCTGTTTTTGAGAAAATCCTAAAAATGTGTAACATCGTTTATATAAAGTGCCACTTCTGGTTAGCCGATTTCCAGAAAAAAGTTGCAGTAACATCTCGTGCATATACCTAAATTAAATACCTAATATCAGTTTCTTACAGCTTTTCGTTTTTGAGCTAGACTGTTAACATAGACACACAGATACTTGGTTATTTTGACTCAAGGAACCTCAAAACATGTATTTCCATTGAAATCTGAGATTTGAAAATTTTCACGATTGCAATACTTTCCTTTACTATATATTAGATATATAGATAAGTGAAAGTAAAAATCTATCAAAAAAATAAATAAAGGAAACTAGCTATATGATCTCTTGTGCAGTTCGGATAATAAAGAACGAAACTTTTAGATATTTTAAATAAAAATAAAAAATATTCTGGTATGGAATAAAAAATATATAATAGACTCTCAGTATGGAACTTATTATATATTCTTAGAGAAAAACTATAAAAAAAGGCTTTTATTCACCAAACAAATATGTCTAGAGCGAGTAAAGCAATGCGAAGGAAAGCTATGCCTCATTGTTTAACTATTAAACTGATGGAATATTTTTCAGTGGAACAAGATAATCACTAATTAATTAAATTGTTATTGTTACTTTAACAGTTGTTCTAAGGTTTGCCATTTCTGTATATAGAATAAAATATTCTGATATTATATTATAAATACGATTAAACATGTTTCGCTGAGGTCATTTATACCTCACTATAGTAAGGCGACCAGACGTCCCGCTGTTGGCGGGACAGTCCCGATTTTTAACAATTTGTTCCGTGTGCCGCAGCGTTTTCAAAAAGTTCCAATTTTTGGAAAGAATGCACGACAAACTAGGGAACAGCAGGAGAACGGGATGAGAATATATGATTTTAGGCAGCCAAGTACCTATTTCTCCAGGATATTAGTTTTAAATTATTTTTGTTGATTTTATAACGTTAAAATTTAATAATAACGAATGTTTGTTAAGAAATTGATTATCGAGAACTGATAAGCAAAATTCGGATTGTTTATCAATTGTTAGAATTCGACCATCATTATTTGGACTTAATGATAATAAACAACACGAAAACTATCTTTTTTCTTTATAGGTATCGTTATTAAAATATTGATAAGAATAAATTTTGGACATCACAGCAAATTAATGTAATTTACTACTTCGATTATCAAAATGTTATCACCTTCAATAAGTTTTTAGCATTTTAAAAAAGAGTTACTTGATTGCGTACAAACTGCTGGCACAGAACTTTTCAGTCTCAAAAACTGTTTGATTATCAAATACAAACATTAAACGTCAAATAAGACTATAGAACTAATTATCATCCTTTTTTTCATCTAAATGCTATTTAACCTGATTGACATTTACACCAGATTATCAATATGTAAAATTAATTATTGTAACAACAAATTTGAACGACTGTTAGGACTTGATGAATCAAATTTTAATCAAGAACCTCCCCTTCCCCATTCGATAGTATCCCGCTTTACCAATGTTAAATTTTGGTCACCTTAAACAATAGGATTGTTAGACGATGCTAACAGGCATTAACAGAGCAAGGAAAATTATCACGAACAACTCCAACAAAGGAAAAAAAATTAATAGACGATAGCTACACATACCTGAAATTCTCAGGGCCAAGCTTGGTGTTAGTACGAGAATAAGACTCATGACAAGTGTTGGTGATACCAGCCGCTATATCCATATGGCGAGGAGACATCGGACTCTGTTCGACCTTAGCTCCTAGCGCCAAAAGGCCACCTTGTTTTGGTCAAGAATAAAATCAATTAAATTCTGATCAAAATATAATATACATATAAATACCAGAAAATAAATATTTATAAAAAACAAACTAATTAATTTACCTTATAAATAAAAAATAAAAAGCATTCATTTATCAAGTTGTATCATACAAAAGCTTGTAATCTAAATGAAATAAATTTTCAGAGTTGGTTCAAGGTTAACTTTGCGAAGAAGAGTAAAATCTAATTTATTTTATCTATATAACAAGTGTGATTGTATTTGGGTAAACTATAAGGCCAACCGTAAGAATTGTAATTCAAGATACCCATTTAAATTATAAATAACAATATGAGGAGTTAGTCGAGGGTGTGGTCAAATAAATAAAAAATTAAAATATATTAATTATTTTAATTTTTGACGACGTTTCGACCCACTTTGCAGGTCGTCTTTAGGGCGTAGGATGTGGCACTGCGGGAGGCAGTTGAAACACTGGCCTATATTATTATTATTTTTTGGCCAGTGTTTGAACTGCCATTCATTTATTTTATTTATTCATTTATTTTATTTTCACTTGTTTTGTATCTTTTGTAGCCCTGATGAAGACCTGGAAAGTGGGTTGAAACGTTGCAAAAAAAACAACAACTTTATTTAATATATTTTAATTTTTTATTTATTTGACCACACCCTCGACTAACTTCTTCTCATATTATATCAACGGTCAACCATCTCTACATCATTATAAATAACAATAATTAATAAATTACTGAATTTATTGTAGATGTTTTATCATATATGTCTGAAAAACATAAGATTTGGTGTCCAAACAGAAATGAACATAAAATGTAATATTTGGCACCAAAATAGGGACAAATGAAAAACATAAAATTTGGTGCCCAATCTGGGGTGAACTTTCTATACCGGACCCTACACGGTTATTCAGAATTGCATTCCAAGGCACTAATGACGTTCCGATTGATAGTGTAAGGTACTGATTGAAGTATTGATGGACGTGTCTAGCAGATTTCCGAAAATCAAAGGTTCACTCACGAGAAGTGAAGAGGAGACTGAGGTAAAAGTAGTGGGGAGACTAATCACAGAACTAGATAAGTTAGTTTACCTAGGCCTCACTACCATTATAAATTCCTGATTTTCATTAAAAGTAAATAGTTAAATAGTTTTTATATTCCTTGTTTATATTTCATAAACTATCTTCAACTATCTTTTTTAAATAGTCAAGTGGGCAATAAATAAATAAAAAAGTGGAAACTTCACAATTTACTTTAAAAAAAAATATTTAACTGACGTGTATATTTGTCAGTTCTTTTCCCATTTTTCTAAACAAATTTATTATTTTCGCAATACCTTTCGTTAATTTTTGTAAGTAGTAGACTTATATTTTAAGAACTTTTGTCAAAACTCTTTTCTACAAGACTAACCTTACTACTAGATAGATTAGTTTACCTAGGCCTCATAACATTGTACATTCCTGATTTTCATCAGGTAAATAATTTCATAAAAGTAAATAGTTTTTTTATATCCCTAGTTTATATTTTTATAAACCATTTTTCCTTATAACAGTCAAGGGGGCAATAAATTAAAAAAAAAAAGTGGAAACTTCACAATTTACTCATAGAAAAAAAATAATCTTTAACTGTTGTGTTTATTTGTTATTAATTTTTCCACTTTTCTTAACAAACTGATCATTTCCACAATACTTTTCCTTAATTTTTGTAAGTAGCTGACCTGTATTTTTCTAACTTTGGTCTAAAAGATTTTCAGGCACTAGGAAATCTCCATTTTTTTCTTTTGATGTCCAATACAAAAAGGACAATGTCCAAATGAGCTTTTTAAATTAAAAACATCATTATAAGTGGACAATCCACCAGATCCATGCTGCCTGTTATCTCAATGTCAACTGATCTAAAATGGTCAATAATGATTGAACGTGTAGGGTTCATCATGATTGAAGCAATTCTTGTCAGTCTTGTGACTTTCATTCACAACTGATCATGTAAGGTCTGCTTATAATTTTGTATATTGATTATCAATAACTAGTTTTTATTTTTATTTTTATCATGAGGAAAGAAGAGTTGAATAAAATTACACAAAGCATAAATAATGCATATTTTATTAAATTAAGAATTTATTAAGGCATTTTCGATTTTAATCAAATGTTAATATTTATGTTGTAAAATATTTAATCTAAATTAAAACAAGATTGTTTAAATTGAGTGATATTAAAAAATTGCTGAGATGGAAGCTGAAACAGAAAATCAAACTCGTTCTAAGACAAATTTAAATATTGATAGAATTGTCAGTGTAGTGCCAAACAAAACTGGTACTGAAGATAACAGAGTAATTGAAGAAAAAAAAAAGTTGAGAAAAATAAAATTTCTATTTTAATATTTTATAAAAAGAAATAAATGGCAGCCTCATAAATTATAAAAATAATGAGTTACGTCCTGTTTATACATAACAATCAAAATAAAAACACTGAAAAAAAAATAGGTATCCAAATCTTATAAAGTATTTACTTCTTGAAACAAATAATAAGATTTTTTAACATGCTTGCTACCAACCACGAGTTATCTCTTAGGTTGAAGATATCTTAAATCCTATGAGATAATTCAACCTATGAGTTGATTCGTAGAACGTTTTTGTTTTACCTACGTCACATATAATCAAACTCCTAGTATTTTCATATTCTTTGAAGGTATTTAGCTTTAGGGATAGGTATGGTGGAACCATCTTTGAAAATATCACTCGGCAACAAACGTGTTATTGAGAAAATATAACAAGAGAAAAAAAAAACAAATTGGAAAGGATGAATATACCTGAGAAACAGGCCAGATGGTCCATCTTATGCTCGGCCCTGTCGAACTTCAAATCTGAAAAGTACACGAGGCCCCCCCTCGATGTTTGGAGCATGTGCTGTATCGCCGCTTCGATGGCCGCGTCGTACATGTCCCTTGCTTCGGTGTCCTGCTTACCGGACTGTATCCAAGCTTTCAACAAGTATTCATAAAAGCTATCTCCCATGGCACCCATAGACATGTGATCTGCGAAGAAACAATATTTCAATTTATATTAAAAATTTGTTTTAAATTCCTGAATGACTTTAGCTTGAAACAAGTATGATAATCAGTTAACAAAAAAAAAAAAAAAAAAACAATTCAATATATCATTAAATATATTCTTTAAAACCAAAATTCAAAATGTTCCCTTTTTTAGGAAAATTCCAAGGTTGGGAGGGAAAAAAAGGGAAACAAAATTTATCAATCAAAGCCTGATCTGAGCAAAAATTAATCTATTTTTTCAAATAATATAAATAAAATAGACTTTTTTTTTTGTATTTCTTAATGACATTTACAATTGTATTACATAAATACACTTGCTGAGCAACTACCCAATGGTAGCACTCTAATGATATGACTACATTAGGAGATCACGTGGCCATCTTTTCAGACGCCTCGGAGGGTTATCAGGAATTGAAGAGGAAGCAAGGTTAGAAACGAGAGGGTTGGGATGATTCTGAAGTTTATTAAGGGAGGATAGGTATCTGGATTGGGCCAGATCTGAAACATAAGGAACATTAAGATCTTTATGGATAATTTTATTAGTGACAAAGTAAGGAGTATTGAGGATTTTGGATTGGATGCGAGAGGAATTCGATGGTTTAGTGGAGCCCCATAGCTCAACTCCGTAAGTCCAAATAGGTCTTATTATAGTCAAGTATATGAGTCTTTTGTAATTAATGGGAAGTTTAGAGCGTTTGTCTAGTAAGTGCTGAAGTAATCGGAAACGTAGAGCGGTTTCTTGTCGTTTCAGTCTAGTATGAGGATTCCAAGTTAGTCGCTTGTCCAGGTGGAGTCCTAGGTATCGGATTTGCTCAACAGGGAAAAATATACTTAAATGTGTAGTTACATATAATATTACATACTATTTTGCATATATTTGGGCAGAAGGGATTTTTAAGTTTGTTCTGAGAGAAAAAAGTAAAAATCTGACTGCCCAAAAGAGAAATTGAAAAAAAAAAAAGTATGGTGAAAACACAAATTTCAGTATTTTTTTTTTTTAAACTAAATAAATCTTTAGGAAAAATAAGTGTATCTTGGGCCATCCTAAGAATAAGAAATTCCACCAGAAAAAATGCCAGAACTCTTTACAGCTGTTTTTAGTGCCTCTGACTCGCTCCGTTTTTTTTTTTAATAATATTGATAAGACTGTTTTAAAGTTGGAAATGTAATATTTCATTACTTAATATAATCATAGAGCCAAAAAATAAATAAATAAAGGCAAGTGAGGCTCTACCGTAAAGAGCTGTATTGCTGAAAAGCATTGGAGGAAATTGTTAAATGAAGCGGATTGCGTTCCCATGAGTCAGTCAAGAAAAGAAGATGTGGCAGAGTTCCAGATGAGAACAGGCCACGACTACCTTAGGAAGCACCTGCATAGAATAGGAGTGGCAGAATCTCCACATTGTAACCTATGTAATTCGGGATCACATATGGACGCAGCGCAATTAGGTGTATGCTCGAACTTGGTGAACATAAGAGATACATCCTAATTGGAATGGTGCTGGGATGCAAGATTGATAAAGAGGAATATTTAAAAAACTATATATATATATATATATATATATATATATATATATATATATATATATATATATATATATATATATATATTTAATATAATAATTTTTCATCAAAAAAGTACATACTTATAAAATTATTAGTCGATTGATGTATAGTAATCTCTCTAGCTTCTATTGAAGGTTAGAACTAAGCAAAATACTTTAGGACTTTGTTAAAAAATTAAATTAAAAAACATTAATTCATATCTAGGGCTAGCCCAAGGTACATTAATATAATTTCAAAAATATTGTGAGAATAAATCCTTGATTCATGGTTATTACTGAAGAAGTTTATAAAAGATTATTTACTGACTGCAAGCGTAATATATTGTAGGCTTTTAAAACATGACATGAAAAAGTTAGCTTATCAGTGTAGATAAGTGATAGTTATTATTGAATAATAATTATAATTCGTATTACAAAAATATTTCCCTAGATACTATTGGTAGCTCAAGGTATAAGTAGTTGCCCAACTATAGTAATTATTCCTTGGGTCATTTATTATTTTTGAAAATGATTTTTTTTTTCATAGTCAAAATCTGGTGATAAAATAAAGTAAAAATTAATATAGTATAAGCATGAAAAATAAAAGGTACACTTATTTCTCCTATATATTTTGTTTATAAAGCTGAAATTATATAAATATGGTAGAAAAGAATTTTCAAAAATTTGCATTTGTCACGAATTGAACAAAAGAACTACAAATAGAAATTGGGTTCAGAAGCTATTAATAAATCATAAAGAAATAATCGGTTTTTAAGCTCCTTTGTAAATAAACCTAATTTTTATATAACACCTTTTGTACTAAGAGTAGCAATATTATTACAAAGTTGATGTATCGGGAATATCGTTCCCATCATCAGAACTATCTTGAGTTTTTGTCAGAATTATTTTCTAGAATATAATATAATCTAAGAATATATAATATTCTACAATAATATATAATATAAGGATCAATTATAAAAACAATATTTCTCGACTTCTTCGGTGCAACTATTTATTTTCAAGTTTATTTATTATCAGCCAATTTTACACCAATTTTAAAATTTTGTCAACTTAATGACATCACATCTAATTACGACGTTTCGGCTCGTTGAGCCATTTTGAAATCTAAAATTTTTTTTACAATTTACAATCATATTTAAAACATTACATATTTCAACATATAGAGATTCTTTTTATATACCTAAATACCAATCATGTACCTGTCCTTTTCACTTATGCGAATTGCATGCGTCCACTCATAATAAAATATTTCATTTTTGACATATCCACCTTTAATTATTTTATAACATTATTATTACTCAATTATTTCTTATTAAATGATTCAATTGAGTTAAAATTACCTTATCATGTGTTACCAATTTATTCCAAAACTAAAGATAAAATATTCACTGATAAATTAACGAATATTATTTATAAAATAAATTGTAAAAATTGTAACAACAAATCATATTTTGGACAGACATCACAATGGTTTGAAAAAAGGCTTAAACAGCACAAACAAAATTGTAATTCAAAAAACCTGCATAATGAAAGTAATACGAATAAACGTAGAATAAAGGAAGCAATATACATAACTAAAAATTTAAAAAAACTCGGTAAATAATCATACAGACGTGGATAATATCATATCAATACATTTTACGCGAGTTCAATTGGAAAATTAAAAATTTGAATTGAATTAGCTAATTTTACTTAAAATAGGTGTGCATACAATATTGGGAAACATCATTGTACATGTTTTAGAATAAATAGTCTTCCCCTACTCCTTTAAAAATAACCAGTCACCGAATAGAAATGAGACTGATGACATGTCGGTGACACATGATAATGTAATTTTAACTTTTAATCGAATCATTTAATAAGAAATAATTGAGTAATAATAATGTTATAAAATAATTAAAGGTGGAAATGACAAAAATAAAATATTTTATTATGAGTGGACACATGCAATTCGCATAAGTGAAAAGGACAGGTACATGATTGGTATTTAGGTATATAAAAAGAATCTCTATGTGTTGAAATATGTAATGTTTTAAATATGATTGTAAATTGTAAAAAAATTTTTAGACTTGAAAATGGCTCAACGAGCCGAAACGTCGTAATTAGATGTGATGTCATTAAGTTGACAAAATTTTAAAATTAGTGTAAAATTGGCTGATAATAAATAAACTTGAAAATCAATTATAAATATATTATTACATTCATTATAAATTGCTATGATTTAAATAAAATTTACCTATTTTATAGGTATGCGCCCTTGGTTAATAACATTGTTTTTCTTTCCGTTATACATATACCTAGGCCAACTATTAAAATTAAATTAATAATTCAATTTTTACAGCATTCTCAAGAGATAGGTGTAATGTTAACCTTTTTTGGTTTGTATTTTTGATTATGCGAGAGAACAAGATTGACCAGAAAAGCACAAAACTATTCTTTAAAATAAAATTATAAGTACACGAATTTGCAGCGTGGCTGTTAATATATATTGAATATTTAATAGTTGACCGTTGCATTATAAAGGAAGGAGATGGTCAGAGGTGGCGGTCATAAATAGGCTAAATAGTGGCAAAACTATTTTATTTTTTTCTTAGAAGTTTCACTTAGAACTCAGTTTGAGTTCTAAGTGAAACTTCTAGCTGAACACACTTCCCTGAAGAAAACCTGCAAAGTCGGGTCGAAACGTTGGCTTTCAATAAAATAGTTTTACCACTATTTAGCCTATTTATGACCTCCACCTCGGACCATCTCCTTCCTGTTAGTATATAAATAAAAAAATATATATTTTGGGAATAGATAGCCCTAAAATATGTAAATTAAGTGAGATCTAAGGAAAAATAAAAATATAATATAAAAATTAAAGAAAAAAAAATACTCACGCTGTCCCCACTTTCCAGTTTTAGGGTTAAGATAATTAGGATAGAGCCCTTTCGGTTTTTCCATTCCTTGTACCACATTTCGGATGGTTTCTACCTTCTCCCTATAGATGGGATTTCCAGTTACATCGGACAAATAGGAGAATTCTAGATGAAGAGTTCCAAACTCGGAGAGGATGCTGGCACCTCCGCTCGCCCAAGCATAGTTTTTGCTTGTCTAAATATTTATTCATTAATTATTATTCTGTTTGAATTTTTTTTTAAAAAAATATTTGTTTTTAATATAATACATATTTTATAAGTCATGGTTAGTTGACTGTTCTGATATATAAAGAGGTAATCAGTTTTTAATTTTTAATTATAAAAGCTTCAAGGTACAAGAATATGCAGTTACCTAGAGAAATATAAAAATAAGCTCTTCGCAGATACTTACCTTTGACGAACTCACATGCTCTTAAGATGGCCCACATGTTTGGATCAAATCGTCAGCTTACTTAACGATGGACTTATTTCATGATTTTTTTTTTACATTTGATCATAAATAACCTGGACGTTTGGTACCGATACCACCAATCGTTGTCTAAATACTTCCATCCACCGACTAATGTCCAAACCCAACTCCATCAGATCAGCCATAATGCATATTACGGTGAACATACCAGTGATAGACACACCATGGACAGATTGGCTTTAAATATAAATAATAAGCTTCCTTGTTGATTAAAGTTTCCATTTCTTTCTAGATTGAATAACAATGCCCTCTATTGACAACTTTATGAACAAAGCCAAAAAAAAATTTTAGAATGCCTATCATTGTTGTTTCTATTGAGTTCTTAAGATCAGTGTGTTTTATATCTTCCTACTAAAAGTTTTGCTATGAGTAAGTTGAACATTTATGTTATCTTGTCTGTATCAATATCTTTATAGTTAAATAAATAATTTTAGAATTTTTCCGAGATATGTCCATTACTGGTACCGATACCCTGTCCATTACAAGAACAATTGAATTTCGGGGTGTACATCACTAGTGCAAAAAGGTGTTTTTTTTTAAATGGTGATTTTAGTGTATAACTGAATTTTTTTTTTTAATTTTAAAGTGTTAAATAGAAAAATGAGGTCCTAGATATTCTAAATGTCCAATGAAGAAGTTTATAACTATAATAATTACGGCAGCATAAGCCAAAAAAGACAAAATTCCCTTACCTATGTCCATCACTGTTGCGCTCATCCTAAACTAATTCTTTTGTTATACTAAGCTCAAAAATTTTACACGCCCGTTTTATTTGCCAAAATGTAATAATATTAATTTTCATTATATATGTATTTTCAAACCAATTTTTCTTAAAGGCAAAAAATGGAAAATTTAAATTAGTTAAATTTATGCTAAATAACTTGACTCTTGATGTTTCTAACAGTTAAATATTTATTAATAAAATTGAATAGTTATAGCATATGACAATAATTAGAATATCATTCATGGCAATAAAGATCAACATTTCAAAGTTTTGTTTCTTTGTGGCGATAATTCATCAACAATAAATGAAAATTTTTCTTTCATTTTCCTTACCTTACACACTGTTATTTTTTTTTTTTTGTACACTCACTAGTCTATAACAGTATTTTAAAATTATTTTACTATTAGATCATAACAAGTTTTAGTATTTTAATTTTGTATCTTCTATATTAATACTTTCTTTTCTATTATTATAATATTGTATATTTCACTGTATAGTATTAGACCTCATTAATTATTAATTAGTTTGATTTTATTTTATATCAATTTATTACTGGACTTTATTAGTATTTAATTGTATTATATATTAGTAATAGAAAATAAAATAGAAAAAGGAAGCCCTAGAGATAATTAATATTAATTAATTATTATATTTTATTATTAGATTTCGTATTTCTTATAGACTTTGTGTTTACATTAGCCGTATTTGTAATAAACTTCTATTCTTTCTAGACACGCTATTATTCTTATATGAGAAGGAGTTGATCGGGGGGAGGGGGGTGCGGTCAAATTAATACTAAATTAAACAAGTACCATTATTTAATTTTTGCCGACGTTTCGAACCACTTTGCAGGTCTTCATCAGGGTTACAAAACATGGTGAAAATAAAATAAATGAATATAAGTAGACATAAAATAAGAAGAAGTTGTCTGATACAGAAATAAAAAGATGATATCAGAGATATAGTGGGTGACAATGTAGTTAAAATATCAAGTATTATATATGTAGAAGATACAAACAAAAATGGAAAATAAGTATTAATAAAAATAGAAAATAAAGGAGAATATAGCATGTAAGTTAAAAGTAAACAGATTGCGATAAAAGATAAGGAATGAATGTATAACAAACTAATAAAGATTACCTTTGATAAGTGTAGGTTAACAGATAAAGAAAATGAATGTTAACGAATAAATAGATTGAAAATTGAATAAGTATACAAGTTTATTACTATATCAATACCTGCAAAGTGGATCAAAGCATCGGCAAAAATTAAATAATGCTATTTGTTTAATTTAGTATTTATTTGACCGCACCTCCCCGATCAACTCCTTCTCATATTATATCAAAGGTCAACCATCTCTACATCATTACTACTAATATTTATTTATTATCTTATATATTATTACCACTATTTATTCATATCTCTATATAATCTTAATTATGTATTATATTTTATATTATATTTATAATCTTATTAATCTCATATTATTGTTCATTTAATATTTATAATATACTGTATTAGATTATCCCTATGTTATATTTTTTTATATCATTATACTATATTATATATTGAAATTGTTAGGAAAAGAAATGTAACACTGTAGAATTTATTTACTTATTATTAATGGCACCGACCAATAGATATTGTCATCTGGTCGGAACAAATTGTAATTATTGGTTAATAAAACTCCCTCTAAAATAAATTCTAAACTTACCCCTGATTTGAAGTTGATCAGACCGTACGGGATTCCAGTGGGGGTCTGGAAAGCTGGAAGTAATTTCTTGGCGATGTATTCCGCTTTGTCTCTGAACATGGTGTCTCCGGTGAAGGAATAACAGGTCAGCAAGCCGCCGACGTACCTTATGTTGGTCTCAAATACCGAGTAGTCTCCAACCTGATAAAATAATGTTTATAAAAAAAAAATTTTTCTCCATAAATTGTTGACTTAAGTTTACCAACAATTCATTTTATTTAACTTTCTTTATTTAAAACTAAAATTAAGACATAAATATATTTCTTTTTATGTTTGAACATGTAAAAAAAAAAACAAATTCCTAACGCGGACCAAAAGGGAAAAATTTACAGCCTAAAAAGACAATTTTTTTCGATCTTGTTTTGTTTTTTCACTTATAACTCCTAAATGGTGCATCGAAGCGAAAAACGCACTCTATAAGAATTTAAAGAACGTTAAATTTTGCGTTGAACGAGTACCTAAACTTAATAATTTGGTTAAGTGGTATGGTCGGTAACCACGGTCAACGTACGTTGATTTTTACTAAATTTGTCAAAAACAGACAAATTACTATCTCTCATAGAATAAAAGTCGCAGAACATCAAATTCCGTGTCCAATGAGTACTACCAGTTTTAATGTAGATCAATTATATCTCTCGAATTGGGATTCATTATTTCTTTATGAAATTAAGTTTTCTTTTGACAAGTCGTTTATCAAAATCTTTCCTCGAAATTAGTTCTATACTGTATATAGCAGACCCTAAACAAGAATAACTCGGTAGAATAGACACCCATGCTGTTGAAATATTTAAAATAACAGATACAATACATGAGGGATTGCCTGTATATGTATATATATATATATATATATATATATATATATATATATATAGAGAGAGAGAGAGAGAGAGAGACAATTAAACTATTTAATCTTCAAACTTTTACAATGTAGAGTAACGTGTTTTATATTACTCAGAAGAATTTTTTTGTTGTTATTGTTTTCAATTGAGTATTCAATTCAGGTAAATACAACTTTGGCTGTACCATTGAATAAGCCATATACTTTCTTGAAATAAATAAAAACCAAACCTATTTTAACATTCTTTATTATTGCTCATATCCTAACTGTATAGAGTCATTTTTAAGTACAAATATAGGATTGGCAAATAAGTCATCTAAATTTTTCTTTTTTTTTTTTCATACCATTACTATAAACTTTTAATCTGACAAATTAATCTCTAAGATTAAATTTTTCTGTTTATTTTCATATTATTACTATAAACTTTTAATCTGACAAATTAATCCCTAAGATGGATTGTTTATCCTATTCCTAATATGTCAACAACCATTTCTGTAAACTCTAGTTAAATGGTACAAAATTGATTTGCCAACTTTTGTTCAGGAAATTATGACATAAATTCAAGATTGTGGAAATTCTAGGGTTTCATTTTGTATGAGCTATTGCTATCAGAAGGAACAAGCAATTCAATACAATAATGTTTAGAATTAACAAAATTGGATTTATAAATTTAAAAAAAAATCTGGTGTGCGCAACACACGACACAACACACAACTTTCACTTACCGCTCTACTTTGAATAGAAATTATTTTCTGGCAATGTTGGGATACTATAAAATTTTTGAAGTGCATTTTAAACTGAGCTAAAGCTTAAAGCTTAAAGATTACAAATCATTAAAACTACAAAAAGTCAACCGAACCGTGTTAACCGAAAGGCTCATATATGCCTGGAGAGAGAAGTATATGTGAATATTTCACCTATAAATGATTATCGACAAGACTATAAGTTATTTTACAAAGTTGTCACACTAATTTTTAAGATGATGTCGGATTTCATAAAGCGAAAATCCATCAAATTATTCACCAATTTAATTTTCTAAAAGGTTACTTGATGAATTTTTGTAATAAACGGCCAATAGATACCTAATTATTTAAATATAATATCATAACTAGAGTTATTATAGTACAGTAAATGTATTTAAGGTTATAAACATATCGATGAAATATTTTTATATTTCACTTCTTCTTTCACACAAGTAAAATGAAATAGTATTTTAAACAATGGCATTGGCTTGATTCGGTGGATTTTAAATACTTTTTAAAACATAGAAAAATTTACATTTATTAAGAAAATTTCATTTAATTTCCTTGGAAACATGGAATGTTGTTGTGATTTATGGTAAATAATGTTAGTTGTCTGAAATTATTATTTATATTTTTTCTCTCGGTTACTCTGTCATTCTCAATTACCTTCTATAACTTTATTTATTTGATATTATTTTTTCTGAAATTCTTTGCTTTCCAACGATATATTATACGTATACCTCCTGACAGTTATTTCCGGAGATTCATTTTCAACCTGGATAAGCAATTTTCTTTTTTTCTCCAGTTTCCAATTATCATATTCTTTCCAACTTCATATTTAGCAATTTTTTATAGTTACTGTCAATAAAAGAGAGTTAAACTTTTTAAATAAACCATATTAAAGGTACTTTAGAGGAAGACGTATATGAAAATTGGGCATTTAAGAATGGTAAAGTGACATCAATGGGGATAAGACCTAAATGATATTAAAGACCACTTAATTATACAATGATACACCGAGTGGAATAAAATCATTAGAGCCGTTTTTTGAGAAAATGCGTTTCACAGTTGATATAAAGTGGCACTTCCTGTGAGCCGATTTTAATGAAAAAGTTGCCGTCACATCAGAACTATATAAAAACCTTAAATATGCAATTTCAGTTTCATACGACTTTTCGTTTTTGAGCTAGGCTGTACACATACACACAGACCATTTTGTAGGAATTGGTTATTTGGACTCAGGGGACCTCTCAAAATGTGTAATTCCGTTGAAAACTCAGATTAAAAAATTTTCATGATTGCAATATTTTTCCATACTATATATTACATATAAAGGTAACTGAAAATAAAAATGAAGAATGATCAAATTACCAACAAAAATGTAACTATTAGCCAATCGCAAACTACTTTAATTAAATTAAAAATACTATAACAAAAAGTAATAATGAAATTTATGATATATACCCCCTAACCTAAATATGTAAAATAACCGAAATCTATATACAAAAAAAAATATTTTTTTGAGATACATAGTGAAGTATTAATTAGTAAAATAGAGGAAAACTTCCCAACAATATGACATACAATTGAAATAAAATTATACTTGTTCTTTCAATATACTAGTAACATAAAAGATAAAAGTAAAAAGAATATAATGAATGGGAATTAATTGCACATTAAATTTTAATGACTACTTGAGAATTATTGCTGGTTATTCTGTTTTGCAGCTGCATTATCATTTTTAACAACTATGAGTAGACTTTATTGATATTGAGCAATAAAGAACTGAACACAATATGAGTATTACTGGTACAATTTTTATTAATTTTATTTTATTTTAACTTCATTAAATTAATTAAGACTAGAGAGATACTCTCTGTCAGACCTACCACCATTTTACAAATTATAAAAATGTTAATTTAATTGTACTAATATTTTCTTAAATTGTATAACTGTAATTCATATGTATTCTGTAGTTCAGGTAGTATTATTTTTTATCAACATAAAACAAACTGTATGAAACCACAGTTCGGAGACATTTTTAAAAATCTATATTAGATATCGCACCTTATTGCCAATTCATATTTTTATATTGGATTGGCAAATAAGTCCTTTCGGCTTTTCTGTTTATTTATATGTCACTATGATACACTTATTTTTCGATTAGGATACTTTCCTTACCTAGTATAGGTAGGAAAGTAAAAAAGCAATGTTAAAGCCATTGTTGTTCAAAATTCCACCCAATCAGTGTAAGAGATTGCTATGGCCCTAACTAAATGTGTAGCACACAAGCATAGAAAACCATTTGCACAAGTTCGGCTGTGTTTTCAGTCTTAATGTTTGGGTCCCTCACACTCTAACCGAAGTCAACTTGGCAAAATGCACTTCTGTTTATGATTCACTACGGAAACTGCAACAAAACAATCTATTTTTGAAAAGGTTGGTGAGAGGAGATGAAAAATGGATATTTTACAATAATGCATTCCACATGGTGGGATTTCAAGGGTGTTATTTTCTATTAGTTATTACCTGCCATCAGGACAAACAATTGATTCAACTCTACACTGCTCACAATTAACAAAATTGGATCGATTAATTAAAAACAAACGCCTAGAACTGGCAAATCAGAAGGGTGTTGTGTTCTTCCAAGACAACTCTAGGCCCCACACTTCCTTGGTTACTCACAATAAATGGGACCTTTTCTCCCACCCAACCTATTCACCAGACCTAGCTCCAAGTGACTAGCACTTATTCCGATCTCTGCAGAACTTTATGAATGGAACAAAATTCCAAAATGAAGAGGACATCAAAAACCACTTGGATCAGTTTTTAACAATAAACTCCAGACATTCTATGAACATGGAATTATGCAGTTAGTGGAAACATGAAAAAAAAGTCATATTAAATAATGGTCAATATATTGTAGTATTAAAATAAATTTTATGACTATAATACATTGAATTTTATTTCACCCTGAAGAAACGAAAAGACTTATTTGCCAATCCAATCTAATCTTCTTATATTATCTGATGTTTAATAATTTACTTAAGGAAGAGTTTTGTGTTATTTTAGGTATAAAGCATGAAAACTTTTCTCTTCCGTATATGTCAATTTATTAATCTGTCCAACGTTTCGTTCTATTTGTCCATCGTCAGGGATATTTGTAACAATTTTTTACTATATATACATATATTAGTTTAAAATGTATTTACAATTCATTTTTTATTTTTACTTAATGCTTTTCCTTTATCAGCTGTTCTTCGAATGCATGTCATTAATACTTGTCTTTTTTTCTATATTCTATATTATATTAGAAGAGCAGGAGATAAAAGAAAATTATTAAAAAGGTAAAATAAAAACTGAATGTCTCTGAAGATGGACAAAGAATCCAAAACGTTGGACAGATGAATAAATTGACATATACAGAAGAGAAAAGTTTTCATACTTTATGCCTAAAAATATTATATAATTATAATTATTCATTTTAGCAATTTGTAACCATTATATATTTTCAACTTGTTCAGATCATACCAGACTGAAACAACAAGAAACCGTTTCCGATTACTTCAGTACTTACTAGACAAACGCTCTAAACTTCCAATCAATTACAAAGGCTCATACGCATGACAATAATAAGACCTATTTGGACTTACGGAGTTGAGCTATGGTGTTCCACTAAACCATCGAATTCCTTTCGTATCCAATCCTTACAATCCAAAATCCTTTGTAAAATCCTCAATGCTCCCTACTTTGTTACAAATAAAACCATCCATAACGACCTTAATGTTTCTTCTGTTTCAGATCTGGCCCAATACAGATACATATCCTTCCATAATAAACTTCAGAATCATCCCAACCCTCTCGTTTCTAACCTTACTTCCTCTTCAATTCCTGGTAACCATCCCAGGCGTCTGAAAAGAAGTTGGCCTAAGGACATTCTAATATAGAACTTTAATTGGAGTTCTATCATTGGGTAGTTACTCAACAAGTGTTTTCACATCATTATATCCATATGTTCAAATTTACTTAATTTATTTCTTTAATACAGTTGTAAATATCATTAAGAAATAATAAAAAAAATTTGTTCAGCTTCATATAAGCCAAACATCAATTCAGACTTCTATTTCTAATACTTCCATTATACCTTATATTGTGCTAGGAATAAATGAAAACTTTCATTATAGTTACTATATTACTAAATTAAATTAAGCCTAGTTACAGGCAAAATTTATGTTTTTAGATGTATCCATCTGTATTAGTGTCTTGCAGACTGAAAATAATTTTTATGATTGAATATATTCACATAAATAATATTTAAGTGCATAATTAAAATTAAATAGTATTATTGAAGGGAAGAATGGTTGGGGTGATCAGTAAAAAAAAAAAAAAAGACATTGTTCTCTTCAATTATTCACTGCAGTCAACCATTAATCCACAATTATAAACACTATTATGTTCTATAAAAATTGAAAACTGCAAACAGTTGAAAACATTTTTGAACTACAGTTAAAAGACTTATAATGACCAAGCAGAGTAATTTTAAACTAAGAACAACACTTGATAAAGAAATATGGCAAAACATTTATAACAAATTTGTTTGGAAAATGAAAAGTTCGTAAGCTCAGCGCTGAGCTCATCGATAGCACCGGATCTATATTTACGCTGGGCGAAAGGATGTCATCAATAAGCTCATCGTTGAGAGTTTAGGAACTTGTCCAAAATCACAACCACCAGATTAATACAAGAAAGTTAAAATATCATTAAAATAAAAAGTGTTCTAAAAAAAATAAAAAATCATTTTCAGTTTTAATTAGTTAAAAAGTAATTTTTAAGATTAAGCATCCGGCTAATATTGAAAATAAATCGAAAGGTTATCAATTTCAAGCTTGAACAATGCCAAACTTTATACATAAAACGTTTCATCCGTTTCCAGACTTGTCATTAAACGAATTGAATCCGTTTTAAAACGAATAAGACTGTTATCAAACGAATAGGTCTTACACCATGAACTATTTTTTTTTCAACAGTTCTTAAGAACTTTTGTTTTTTTGTCAACGAATAGTTCATTTACGTTTTTCAAAAGTATTTGAAATGCCCACATCTAGGAGGGGAGAAGACAGCCCCTCTTGAATAGTGGCGCTTTCTGGTGCTATATTTTGTAAACCTTATCTGAAACATTGTGGATAACCTTGATTCAACCATGATGGCCGGAGGAGTACCACTTATAAATAATTACAAAAACTTCTTCATATAATAGAGTGATTAGACTGACCAGGTCGTCGAAGTTGAGGTTCTCCTGGATCCAGGCCCTTCCCTGCTTGAACTCCTCGTGGAGCCCCATTATGTAAAGGGTGTCCAGGCCGTCCACTATCGTCATCCCTGCGGAAGCGGAACCGAATACGCTGCCCGTGTGCCCGCGCTTCGAGATCGGCTTCAGCTCGTTCTTGCCCCAGGCGTAGCGGACGTAGTTGTTCCAAGCGTGCTTCGTCATCTGAAACAGGAAATATAATATTTTAGCAACCATTGCCAGAAACAGAAACAGAAAAAAAAATCTTTATGTAACCTTCCTACACTTCCTCAATTAAATGAAATAATAATAATAATAAGTTCTTAAAGACGCAACAACTACAGATAAATGTCGATTATGCTCAACGACGCTGGAATCAATCCAACATGTCACAGGTGGGTGTGGAGTGTTGGCTGGCACCGAGTATCTCAGAGGCATAACAATGTGGCTAGAATTTTTCATCAGGCTCTGGCGGTGAAGTTCAACTTGTTAGATGACAAAACTCCATATTATAAGTACCACCCAAGTAATCACCTCTAAAAAGGTAGTCTCAAGCTCTACTGGGATGAATCGATTATAACTGACCATACTGTGCGTCACAATAAACCAGACATCCTTCTGATAGACATGAGAGAGAAAAGAGCAGAGCTTATTGATGTCGGGATCCCCAATGATAATAATATAAGCTCCACTGTTGGAGAAAAACTGAGAAAATACGAGGAAATGGCAATCGAATTGAAGGAATTGTATCATTTGGGGAACGTCACCACCACTCCAATTATAATATCCTCCAATGGATTGATACCAAAGACAACAGTGGCAGGCACGATGGGATTAAAATTACCTCTTGAAGTGCTGGAAGAGGCTCAACACTCAGTTCTCTTGGATACGGCACGTATTGTTCGAAAGTTTTTAAATATCTAAAAAGTAATAGATATTAATCTGAAGTGGCTGGACTTCTGGTCCCTCACCTCAGAAACATACCCCGCAAAGCGAGAATAAAGAATGGAAATAATAATAATAATAGTGCTTTATTTATTCTGGAACGAGTCCCTTTAGAATAATACAGAAAGACAAAAATGTGGGCTAAGGAGCCTCAGAGATACATAAACAAAAATATAGAGTAAGAGAATAGTCAAAATAAAAAAAAATAAATAAAAGAAATTATAAGTTACTTTCTAATTTAAATCAGTTAATAATAAAAAATAAAAAAATCTGGTGTGTCCACTCACACGACTTTCCTACCTATTTCAGAAAAGTTTTTATATCTTTATATATGTTCATGAAGAAAAAAAAAAGAATTGAACTAAATATATTTTCCTGAAAATTAATCAAACAAAAGATTTGAGTACGATTTATTTGATAAATTAAGGCAATGAAACCAGCTTAAGGTAGATCAGTGTAAACATTTCAATACCCTCTAATATTGCTAAAAAAGAATCACACATCTCAAGCATTGAAGAATGGTGCAAAAATTGGAGGATTAAAATTAACTCCAATAAATCCCATCAAATTACCCTTCGTCGTAAACCTATGACTTCCTGCCCTTTAATAATACCCCACTTATCCCTGTTGAACAAATCCGCTACCTAGGACTCCACTTGGACAAACGTCTCACTTGGAATCCTCATACCAGACTGAAACGACAAGAAACCGCTCGACGTTTCCGACTACTCCAACACTTACTAGACAAACGCTCTCAACTTCCAAAATACTCGCATATGTAATAATGCCGATTTGGACTTCCGGAATCGAGCTTTGGGGCTCTACTAAACCATCAAATTCCTTTCGTATCCAATCCCTACAATCCAAAATCATTCGTAAAATCCTTAATGCTCCTTACTTTGTCAAAAATAAAATAATCCGCCTCCGAGGCGTCTGAAAAGAAGATAGCCTCGGGACCTTCTAATATAGAAATATAATTGGAGTGCTACCAATGGATAGTTGCTCTTCATGTTGTACATGTCATGTTACTTGTTTCATATTTACTAGTTACATTTATCATTTAATACAGTTGTAAATTTCAATAATAATAAAAAAAAAAAATTGATGTGTACATAAAACGTACTTATATACATAATTTTTCACCTCTTAAGACGGATAGAGATAATTGAGTAATCGGTTGTTTTTTAAATTACAATATTTTTTAAAATATGTGTAGATAAAATGCATATTAACTATTCTTAAATAAACTTTTGTATGGTTTCTGAATAAATTTAGAAAGTAGTTCTGCTAGGAGTTTCACTTAGAACTCAACAGTTTCTCAAAAATAGTTTTGCAACTATTTAGTCTATTTATGACCGCCACCCCGGACCATCTCCTTCCTTAATAATACAACGGTCAATTATTAAATATTCAAAAATTTAAATAAAATATACTAGACTAAAATGAGGATACTGGAGGACTGAAATTCCATTTACATTAAGAAAGGAGAAAGAAAAAAGGAAAAAAAAAAGACGAGTGACAATTATAAAAACCCAAAGAGAAAACAACACCACTAGGTTTAAAAGGAAACAAATCCTTTGAAAGGAGAACAAGGGACTAAAAAATGTACCCGGAATCTAAAGGACCCTTGTACAAACACCGCAGGGCATTTCAGGACCCGGCTGGACATTCAGTAACGCTCTTCAACATCACACGTACCAACTTGTGGTCACTTGTTTATACGATCGAAGGGGGGGGGGGTAGCTGTGTAAACTTAATCTTAGGTAAGAGTGGTGATGTGGTCAGAACAGGGACAAGAGTGCTCTTCAGGTGTACCTGTCTGGTTCTAGTGTCGACTAACTTATGTGAGTTAAGATATCGATTGTTAAACTAACCACCATGATGATATCGATTGTTAAAATAATGACGACCGTGATGCAATTAAATTATACGAAAGGTAAAAAAAAAACTAGGTTGAGTGCTTAAGACCACACGATAGAAAACATCAACAATGCGATTATAATATGAAATATAAAAGTTTTTTTGTTATACAGGTTGTTTCGTAATTACACGGCACTATTTTAGGTATGTGTTCACTTATAATAATAATAAGGCTTAGCGAACCCGAAAGTTCGATGCCGACACCACCAATCGCTTGTTACACACCTCCCTCCACCGTTCGCCGTCCAAACCCAGTCCCTTCAGATCAGCTTTAATGCAATCTTCCCACCTTCGCTTCGGTCTACCCCTCCGACGCTTACCATTCGGCACAGCAAATATTAACCTTTTAGGAATTCTCTCGTTACTAAGCCCAACAACTTTACAAGCCCATTTGATTCGCCGCGATGAAATTACCTCAATTATATTACACGGATATAGCTCACGCAATTCGGCGTTGTGTAACCGTCTGAACTCTCCGGTTAACTCATCCTTCTTCGGTCCGAATATTCTACGCAATACTTTATTTTCAAAAACCTTAAGACGCTGCTCATCCCTTAATGTAAGCGGCCAAGTTTCGCATCCATAAAGAACTGTAGGCAAGATAATTGTTTTATAGATTCTAATTTTTAAGTTTCGGGACAAGAGGCGCGAACTAAGTAGTTTTGTCACAGAAAAATAACAAGCATTCCCCGCCTTCAGTCTAACTTTAATCTCTTCTTCAATTTCGTTTTTTCTAGTTATCGTAGAACCTAGATACCTAAATTTATCTACCTGTTCAAACATATTACCATCTATATCGATATCACCAGTAGTATCGCCATTTTTGCAGCTAACCATATATTTTGTTTTATCCACGTTTATTTCGAGTCCTAGTTCTTTACCGGCTTTCATTAACGTTGTCGTATTTAGTTTTATAGTTTCAACGTCTTCGCTTAACAGTACCAGATCATCAGCATAGCCCAGCACGGATGTTGTCCCGCCAAGGTATGTGTTCACTAACAATAAATAAACAAAAAGTTCATATTAACACATATCTCAAACTCACTTATTAAACATGTATAAAAGGCACTAGCGGATTCAGGATTTAATTTTTTTTTTGGGGGGGAGGGAGGGTGAGCTTCAGCCCGGAAGCTTTTTTTTTCATATATATAACGATAATTACTTTGGAAAAACAGAAAAAAAAAAATAATATATAGAAAAACTATCTATATGAAAAGGTGTTTAAGTGATCCTTAAAATCCCATTAAATGTAATTAAACGAGCATTAATACTTTAAGACATAATTTTTTAATATTTTTTACCATAAAACATGGTTACATTTTACCATTTTGGGGGGCTTCAGCCCGAAAGCTCCCCCCCCCCCGTAAATCCGCCTGTGATAAAAGCTTAAAGATTTATTATTTATTTACAACATTAAGACTGACTGCACAAAGTTTGACGTGTTAATTACTAAGTAACAGGTTTTAATCACTTGATAAACAAACGAACGATAAGCAATGACAGTAGTCGCTCATCTGTTTGTCTAGTTCTGTGTGTTTTAGTGTGAGTGAATACTGTGACAAATACTGTGTGAATACTGTTACGTCGTTTCATATTTCCTCTATCAGCGTATGGCGAACTTTACGCAAAAAACAATTGCATCCATTTTACGTATCGAGTAGGCAAGATTTTTTACCACAAGATTATAACAAGCGCAGAAATTTCTCCCAGTGGTTAATCCGACAATGCACACGAGATCCTAACTTCCTGAACTGCATTTTGGTTACTGATGAATCTTGCTTTACAAGAAATGGGATTCTTATATTTCGAAATACCATACTTGGGCAGAAAAAAACCCTCATAGAATAGAATAGAAAAATAATTTTATTCTGGGACACAGTCCCTTGAGAATAACAAAATAAAAAGATTACATCTGGCCAAAATAAAATCAATCGAAAAAAAGAAATAATGTAAAGAAAATATAAGGTAAACATTCTATATACAAAACAAACGAAACTATATACAAAACAATTAATACTATGACAAGACACTTAAAGCTATTTGCACTTATAGACCAGTATACACTCTTAAGGAAATAATAAAGAATTAAAAAATAAAAATATAGCAAATTCTCTATTAATCTCTATTAAATATAGCAAATTCTCTATTAATCTCTATTAAAATGTGGATATGGATGGGGAATGTCGAATTATGATAGGGAGGGAATTCCAGAAAGCGGACAATAAAGGAATTTTGGAATAAAGCAGATCTGTGAGAAGGTATGTGCAGGTTAGAAGGTCGAGATCTTATGGACAGGGAATGGACTGAGGATTTGAACTGGAGAAGGTTGTAGGCGTAGG